GAGAACACTTTTATCTTAAAATTTAATGAGAGATCATCTTATAATGCTACCGTCATAACTAAGCAAAGTAAGATGTATAAAAGATAAACATCACATGCAATCAAAATATGTGACATGATATGGCCATCATCATCTTGTGCCTTTGATCTCTATCTCCAAAGCATCATCATGATCCCCATCATCACCGGCATGACACCATGATCTCCATCATCTTGATCTATGTCAATGTGTCGTCACATGGTCGTCTCGCCAACTATTGCTATCGCATAGCGATAAAGTAAAGCAATTATTTGGCACTTGCATCTTATGCAATAAAGAGACAACCATAAGGCTTCTGCCAATTACTGATAACTTCAAAAAAACATGATCATCTTATACAACAACTTATATATCATCACGTCTTGACCATAGCACATCACAACATGCCCTGCAAAAACTAGTTAGACGTCCTCTACTTTGTTGTTGCAAGTTTTACGTGGCTGCTACGGGCTGAGCAAGAACTGTTCTTACCTACGCATTAAAACCACAACGATAGTTCGTCAAGTTAGTGTTGTTTTAACCTTCGCAAGGACCGGGCGTAGCCATACTCGGTTCAACTAAAGTTGGAGAAACCGACACCCGCCAGCCACCTGTGTGCAAAGCACGTCAGTAGAACCAGTCTCGCGTAAGCGTACACGTAATGTCGGTCTGGGCCGCTTCATCCAACAATACCGCCGAACCAAAGTATGACATGCTGGTAAGCAGTATGACTTGTATGGCCCACAACTCACTTGTGTTCTACTCGTGCATATAACATCAACGCATAAAACCTGGCTCGGATGGCACTGTTGGGGAATGTAGTAATTTCAAAAAAAAAATCCTACGCACATGCAAGATCATGGTGATGCATAGAACCGAGATGGGAGAGTGTGTCCACGTACCCTCGTAAACCGAAAGCGGAAGCGTTAGCACAACGCGATTGATGTAGTCGTACGTCTTCACGATCCGACTGATCAAGCACCAAACGCACGACACCTCCGAGTTCTGCACACGTTCAACTCGATGACGTCCCTCGAACTCCGATCTAGCCTAGCTTTGAGGGAGAGTTCCGTCAGCACGACGGCGTGGTGACGATGATGATGTTCTACCGATGCAGGGCTTCGCCTAAGCACCGCTATAATATGACCGAGGTGGATTATGGTGGAGGGGGGCACCGCACACGGCTAAGAGATCCAAGGGATCAATTGTTGTGTCTCCAAGGGGTGCCTCCCTCCCCGTATATAAAGGAGTGGAGGAGGAGGAGAGGGCCGGCCCCTATGGCGCGCCCTGGAGAAGTCCTACTCCCATTGGGAGTAGGATTCCTCCCCTTTCCAAGTAGTAGGAGTAGGGGACAAGGAAGGGGAAGAGGGAAGAGAAGGAAGGAGGGGGCGCCACCCCTCCCCCTAGTCCAATTCGGACTAGTCATTGGGGGGCGCGCAGCCTGCCTCTCTCTCTCCCCTAAAGCCCAATAAGGCCCATATACTTCTTCCCCCCGTATTCCCGTAACTCTCCGGTACTCCGAAAAATACCCGAATCACTCGGAACCTTTCTGATGTCCGAATATAGTCGTCCAATATATCAATTTTTACGTCTCGACCATTTCAAGACTCCTCGTCATGTCCACGACCTCATCCGGGACTCGGAACTACCTTAGGTACATCAAAACTCATAAACTCATAATATAACCATCATCGAACTTTAAGCGTGCGGACCCTACGGGTTCGAGAACTATGTAGACAATACCGAGACACGTCTCCGGTCAGTAACCAATAGCGGAACCTGGATGCTCATATTGGCTCCTACATATTCTACGAAGATCTTTATCGGTCAAACCGCATAACAACATACGTTGCTCCTTTTGTCATCGGTATGTTACTTGCCTGAGATTCGATCGTCGGTATCTCAATACCTAGTTCAATCTCGTTACCAGCAAATCTCTTTACTCGTTCCGTAACACATCATTCCGCAACTAACTCATTAGTTGCAATGCTTGCAAGGCTTAAGTGATGTGTATTACCGAGTGGGCCCAGAGATACCTCTCCGACAATCGGAGTGACAAATCCTAATCTCGAAATACGCCAACCCAACAAGTACCTTCGGAGACACCTGTAGAGCACCTTTATAATCACTCAGTTACGTTGTGACGTTTGGTAGCACACAAAGTGTTCCTCCGATAAGCGAGAGTTGCATAATCTCATAGTCATAGGAACATGTATAAGTCATGAAAAAAGCAATATCAACAAACTAAACAATCAAGTGCTAAGCTAACGGAATGGGTCAAGTCAATCACATCATTCTCCTAATGATGTAATCCCATTAATCAAATGACAACTCTTTGTCTATGGCTAGGAAACATAACCATCTTTGATTAACGAGCTAGTCAAGTAGAGGCATACTAGTGACACTTTGTTTCTCTATGTATTCACACATGTATCATGTTTCCGGTTAATACAATTCTAGCATGAATAATAAACATTTATCATGATATAATGACATAAATAATAATTTTATTATTGTCTCTAGGGCATATTTCCTTCAGGCGAGGCGACGCTGCCGCCTCCGGTGGACACGACGATCCTCGTCGGTGAAAAGCCACGGGAGAGGCGTCAGATCTTGCGCCCGCTGGCTCGACACGTTGGGAAAATTCATATCCCGACGAGGCCTCAGGAGGCGCTAGGGGTGGCAATGGGTCGGGTTTGGGGCGGGTGGAGCTGGTCCAAATCCAACCCATGACCCATCTTCCTACCCTCTGCCCATCCACCAAATTATCCATGGGCAAAACTTGTGCCCATGTCCAAACCCACTGGATACCGACATACCCATGGAGCTCCATAGGCATAGAAAAGTTAGCATGAAGCCTTCCCAAAAAGCAAATTAACTCATCATCATTCACTCACAAATGACAACATAAGCTACATGCATAAGTAGGCAACAAGTAATAGGATGAGACCTTAAGTGTGACATACTAGAGGTTGATTCTGCAGCATATAGCTCATGGAACAAGTTGCATATTTCCTGCCATTTCTCATTGATTCACTCTTTCTACTATCACTGGCATATGGTCCCACATGTCATACGGGTATCCATTGGATATCCATGGAGCACAAACTATAACCATGCCCAACCCGGCTGTTCATGGGTATCCATATCCATGGACCCATGGGCGAAAATGTGCTCCATACCCTTGCCCAACCGGGTCGGGTATCCATGGGTATCTAGATCCGTGGATAAAATTGCCATCCAAGGCGCCGCGTCGTGCGCGCGGGCCGCCTCCTCTGCGGTGTCGAAGGTGCCGAGGATGAAACGTTTCTCGCGAAACCAGATCTCAGAGGAGTAGGCGCCGGAGCGGCGCTTGCGGACTCCGCGAAAATCCGAAGCGCCCAGGCGGCGGATCGACATGGTGGCGCAGAGGCGGCGAGAGTGGGTGGCGGACAGAGGGTGGAGGGAGCGCCTTCTTTATAACGAGCGCCGGCTGCGGCGCGCGCGCGAACCTTTCCCGCGCGCTGAAGCGCCAAAACCAGGGCGACGACATGATCTAAAACGTGCGCGGTCATGAAATGGGTCGGCCCGTTGGGCGCACTGCCGACCCAAAAATTAAAGAGGGCGGACGGCGGACGGACGGCCGACCCAAACGGACAAAAAGCGGACAAAAACGCCGTCCGTTTAGGTCGGCCCGTTGGAGTTGCTCTAACCTGTTCTTGGATTTGAAAAAATAACCTTTTCTTTAATTAAGACGTTTAAGCCATATGCCGCAAAACGGTGCTACTCCCTTCGTCCGGAATTAGTTGTCGCTTAATTTTATATGGAGAGGAATGGAAAACAACTGCTTCCTCCATCTTGGGATATTACTATACTCAAATGATTGACCTCTGTGGCCATCCATAAGCAAACTTCCTCCATCTTGGCGACGGTGATCATAGTGGTGGCGGTGGTATTGTGACAAACCCTCAAGGTCGATCCACCATTTACTCACCATGGTCATAGTCGCCCAAATGCTAGCCATACTATCGCTTAATCCGAGCTAAGCATTGACCTCTTTCCACACCCTAATCGGGTAACAACATCTACTAGCAACTTTTGGACTTGGTTGCAAAGAGGGCATATGGGCCAATTTTTACGATGGGGCCTATAGACCATGCAAACCTTATTTGTGGATAATCAACCAAGCAGAGAACTTGCATTTAGGGGGTGCCCGCACCTTCCAAATGTCTTAAGTGAGGGTGTGGTAGCAAGCCCCTCAAACTGCACCTTGTAGGTCAAGGACGTCGAGTGCATCCCATTTTTCATGAACTTCAAAATAATCACATCAGTATCATGCTCGAGGTTTATGCCGACCATCATCATCTCTCACAGGGTGGCGAACTCACAGATTGTGCTCCAAGGGAATTTTGCACCGTGCTCCCTTTCTATCGTGAGATAGGGAAAATCTTCGGGGCAATGTCCTTCAGCCTCACTCCCTCGAGCCATGGCGAATCCCAAATTTTTTGCCTTATTGCCATCATCACCAGTAACTTAGTCTGCCTACCCCAGTCGAAGGCTTGGAGGGATCCACCCATTCAAACCATAGCCAACGAAGTTTGTACTAACTCCGTCCCAAATTATAAGACATTCTGGTAGGCTGGTGGCAAATTTGTACGCGTCCCAAATTATAAGACGTTCTGTAGGCTATTTTAGCCTACCAAAACATCTTATAATTTAAAACAGACGAAGTACATATTTAGCAACCTTGCCGTGGCATGATTTTAACCGGCTCGAAGGATGTAAACTGAGATCTGAGAGCTTCGCAGGTCAGCAGTACTCAGCAGCAGCTTACGTAGATACTTAAAGGTCATAGAGGCATGTTTGCTACATTTCTGTATGCGGAGAGGTGATCCTTCTCCACTGCTTACACTTGCTGCCGTCGAGCACCTAAAACAGCAGTTTAAATTACACATTCGCGCTAAATCTACACTTGTGTGTGAGAAGATAGGTTCCAGGCCTCATCACGGTTTACTCAGTGGCTCGACAGCGGTTCTGAAGAGAAGAATGTACGCCTTGTCGACCGAGAAGTACAGGAAGCCTCCTAGGGAGTGAGTGACGTAGGAGCCAAAGCTTGTGCCGACGATGCAGTGCCAAGCAGGCCCGTATGTCGTGTCGAATTCCTGTAAGCAAACCAAAGCAATGTCCAGCTATCAAATGAAGCATTACCGACGATATTTTGAGGCATAATCTTTGAAGAAGAAAAACTGCAACCAGCTCACAGGTAAGCAGGTACTAGTACCTAGGGAAGAAGGAAACTGCAAATAGCCACTCCCTCTATAAAGAAATATAAGAGCATTTAGATCACTACTTTAGTGATCTAATCGCTCTTATATTTCTTTACGGAGGTTGGAAGGACTACTTGTCTACTTGACAAGCAGAAATAAGAGGAAACCAAACGTAACAGCGCATGCCAACAAAGTACAAGAATTATGATGTTAGTTTGACTATAGATTAACCAACACCCTAGATCTCAAAAGAGAGAGAGAGAGAGAGAGAGAGAGAGAGAACCAACACCCTGGTTCCTCAAAAAAAAACACCCTGGATTATGTACAGAACCAACATGAAAGTCTCTGCCATACTGAAAGTATGCAATTGTTTAGCGGAATACTGAAAATACTTGGCGATCATTTATTGCAGTCTGTAAGTAGCTTGCTATGTGTTCCCATTTTCATCATGCATACAGAGAAGGGGGAGAAAATAATGGCTCAAAGGCTGTAATTCAACACTAGCGTGTTCGAAGTTGGGAGATAATGCATGGAGCTTGTCTGTGCTTGCACTGACGTCTACTCACACAAAGTTTTAAATCGGCCGGTCAAAGGAAAACAGAGTGAATGCCCTTGCTTGCCAAGTTATTGTTCCTAAGTACCGAGTATACTAATTTACATACCAGGATATTGCAGGTAAGGACATCAACAAACGACAATTAGTAACTAACCGAAATGAACACAAAAGCAGTAGTTCCAATTTCAGGATCCATGCTCCAACTTAAAGAAGGATGTTAGTTCTCGGATGAACTTACAGGATAATCGCGGATGAACTTCAGGAGCCATCAAATGATGGAGTTAACAGCTCAACCATGAGAAACTGCTTACTCTCACTCAGGTGATCTCAGGAGTTTGATTACTTAATCAGATGACCTTGGAACTACATAATGATGGAAGTAATAAAGGCTCCAGTGGAGCCATGTCAGCAAGCCACTTGCCACCAATAGCATACCTTATCCTACCTACAATCCTCACCCTGCTATTGACCATGTCATTTCTAGTTCTCGACAGCTATTATCGACAATTCTGTCAAACATCCAGCACGCATCGGCAGGAGTTTTACAAAACCAACTTGTCCAGTTAGCTCACAAGATTGCAACCCTCATGTTTCGCAAAGTCAACAGCTCTGCATTGCCATAACATTCAGTTCCTACAGCATGCTTAGAGATAGCATACACGTTCAACTCATAACATGGTTCCAGTAGCAACTGGTGAACTACATCTGGCAGCAGAATATAACTATCCTCCTCGGATGCCCTCTGAGCATTCAGTATCTCACAGATCAGTATATTTTTTCAGCAATACGCAGGAGTGTCGTGGTGGACCACCCCCCATAAATGAACACATCGAACAATCTGATCTGGCAACAACAGCGCTCAGCCTCCCATTTCATCTTCTCCGTCAAACTACGTTCAGCATGACAGCTCGCTCGGTCGCTCTCAAATGCACAGCTATTCAAAGCGCACAGCCATTTTTAGCTAGTGCTAGGATCAAGCTCTGGCTAGATCTTATTCCCGGGCCCTTTAACTGCGATTCTTTGTTACTTATCCGTGGTCGTTTGCAGCAATTAATGCTCTAAGCAAGCTTTGACTCCACGAAAACTGCTGATCTATCTTATACTATCTGATTAAAGGACCACAAATTCGAAATGGAAGAAGGAAGCAGGGGGTGGTGGTACCAGTACCTTCTTGAGCGCGAGCGCGAGGCGCTTGCTCTCGAGGCGCGGCGTGGAGAGGACGACCTCCCGGGCGATCCAGATCGCGCGCCGCTGCAGCGCCAGCGGCATGTCCGCCGCGCGCACCCGCACCGCCACCTTCCTCCCCTCCCCGCTCGCGGCGTCCCCTTTGACCTTCGCCGCCTCCCTGCTGTCCTTGGCCTCCGCCTTACCGGCCTTGCCCTCCCCGCCGCTGGTCTCCGCCGCCGGTTTACGCTCCACCTTGAGCTCTGGCTCCGGCTCCGGCTCCGGCTGGGGCGGGTCGTCGAGCCTGGTGCGGCGGACGAGCGAGCTGAGGTAGCGGCTGCGGCGCTCGAGCTCCTCCTGGGCCGGGTCCATCTTGCCTCAGATGTTCCGGCGAGATAGATGTTGAGCGGTCGCGGCGCGGACGGCTGGGTGGTCAGCACTCAGCAGCGGCGGCGGCAGGGGGGCATGCCCGCGAGTGGGAGGTGTTTGTCTCGGGGCCGGGACGGGGAGGTGGTGGTGGCCGGTTGGGTTGGGGTTTCTTGGGGTTTGCCTTGCCCGGAAGAGGAGGGGCGGTGAGTGAGTCTGAGTGCGATTGTTGCCGCTCCTGGAATTCGTGGGAGCAACTTTTGAGACAAAGCCTTTGTTTTCCTTTGGTTTCCAGGTATTCGGCCTACGCCGTGTTCACTTGTTTTTTTAGGGGACGCTTTGTTGAGTTGTTTGTGTGAATATAGGAGGAGTAGTTTACGATCAGATCCAGGGTGAGATTAGCCAGTAGCTTATCTGGCCCAGATTTCAGTGAAGAGCAAGATGGAACTAGACTTGCATTGTGTGTGCTTGTGCACGTGGTCCCTCGGGGAAGACTCGGTTGTCCGTCGATTTGTGCCCGGGGCGGGCGTTTGACCGACTGTCGGGATCGGCAACCCCACACTCGCTGGCAGAGTGTTCTCCCAGTCCCACCGGCCCCGCAGCGAAGACACACCTCTACCTACTCGGAGGTCGAGGGATGCCACGATGGCCGCACTCCCCAGATTCCCTAGCCTGGCCGGCACTACCAAGCTTGCTCGGATGCAGAGTAGCAGCTCACGGGGTTCTAGCCGCTGAAATTCCGCTTAATCGCGACACCATATCGGATCAGATTAACCAAATAACAGAACTAGGAAAAACCCAGCGATATGGAATAGCGCAGACTAATGTACAACAACGGCACATACAGAACTGCACGTATGTTAGTGCTCGAATTTAAACCACCAAAGAGGCAGAACAGAGCACAACCAAAATATAAACCACCGTTACTAAGTATGCATCTATATCAAAGAAATGGATTGTATCTGTGGACTAAACTGCATAATGCCAGAAAGGAAGGGGAAAGCCTAGCCTATCGAAGACTAGCATCTTCTGGAAACCACCATCTTGCAGCAACAAGAGGGAGTAGAGTAGCATAAAGTAAAGTAGCAGTAATGTTATCAACCTCGGCCAGAGATCCTTTCTCGACTCCCTGCGAGAAAGCAATCCCAGAGCCATACTATCCAGTTATCATCTCATATCCAAGTCTCATCTCCAGGCCTCCTCTCACGTATCCAGTTCTAGTTGTATCGATCGGGATACGACTCCAAGTGTCCGTTACCGTAGGACAGGCTATCGATAGATGTTTTGTTCCCTGCAGGGGTGCACCAACTTACCCACCACGCTTGATTAACTTCGGCCGGACACACTTTCCTGAGTCATGCCCGGCCTCGGCCAAACAATACGCCGCAACCCGACCTAGGCTTAATAGAGAGGCCAGCATGCCGGACTAAACCTATGCCCCCAAGGGTCATGGGCCATCTCCCCGTTACAGAACAGAGCACAACCAAAACACTTTGAAACGGTTCAATTTCAAAATGTGAAAACTTGTCTATTCATTTTTATTTATGTAAAATAGTTTTGTTGCTCTAGCTACCTTGAAGCATATACGACACAGGATTAACACATTAGCCTAGGGATGATGAGCTAGGCATCAACCTACAACCGTACTATCACAGTATCAGTGCATATGAAGAACTCCAACAAGAATTAACAGTAAGCATAAACACTTCAATCAAAAACTTTCAAAGTTTTTTTAGAACAAGCGTCAACATGCATATAAGAGGGGGGCAGATGGCCTACGACATCAATTTTAGGTACAGGCCAAATAAAAAAGAACCAAAACACTTTGAAATGGTTCAATTTTAAAATGTGGAAACCTGTCTATTCATTTTTATTTATGTAAAATAGTTTTGTTGCTCTGGCTGCCTTGAAGCATATACGACACAGGATTAACACATTAGCCTAGGGATGATGAGCTAGGCATCAGCCTACAACCGTACTATCACAGTATCAGTGCATATGAAGAACTCCAACAAGAATTAACAGTAAGCATAAACATTTCAATCAAAAACTTCCAAAGTTTTTTTAGAACAAGCGTCAACATGCATATAAGAGGGGGGCAGATGGCCTACGACATCAATTTTAGGTACAGGCCAAATAAAAAACAACCAAAACACTTTGAAACGGTTCATTTTCAAAATTTGGAAACCAGTCCCTTCATGTTTTATTTGTACTTGCTTGGTTGCTCAGTTTGCAATCAACAAGAAAACGAACTAGGTCACTGGCTGCCAGTTTTCATGGTCCAGAATACTCTTGTAATACTATAGTTGAACCAAATAGCAATTATGCATAATTGAACAGGAAGTGACATCCCTCACACAAGTCTGGAACAAGCATGGGATATGTCTGGAACAAGCATGGGATAAGGAATTCCTTACAAATCAAGAGATGCACTAGAATGGGGACCAAAACATGCATCACAGACTATTCTTGAGATATATTTTAGAGCTAAACTCCAACAATGCACTAGAATTTACTCCCTTTGTAAGAAATATAAGAGCGTTTAGATCACTACTCTAGTGATCTAAACGCTCTTATATTTCTTTATGGATGGAGTATTAGACAAGGCATAAACCATACTATTCAGCTAAACTGAAACATCGCAGCATAAACCTATCGTCCACTTGCATATCAAATCCATAATTGCCTCTTGTAACACTAGTGAAGAAAATACCAAGTTAAATGGAGCATTACTTCGCATGAGAGCCCAATAGCTTAGAAACAGGTCATACTTACTTACTTACGAAGCCTTTTATCCCAAACAAGTTGGGGTAGGCTAGATATGAAACCCTTTCACGAGGACTTCCCAGGAGGTCACCCATCCTAGTACTACTCTCGCCCAAATGGGTTTCATACCCAAAAGACTGGCTAGTTTTTACGTTGGCTCGCCAAGCCTATCACAACCCTTAGATATGAAACCCTTTCACGAGGACTTCCTAGGAGGTCACCCATCCTAGTACTATTCTCGCTCAAATGGGTTTCATACCTATGGGACTGGCTAGTTTTTACGTTGGCTCGCCAAGCCTATCACAACCCTCCTCCTTTACCCGGGCTTGGGACCGGCTATGCCTAGAACAGGTCATGAGCACAAAAAACAAGGAAATTATCACCAAAAAGTAACCATACTGCTGAGCTAGATCAAACATCAAAGCATCAACCTATCATTCACCAGGACATTAGATCCAGAATTAATTCTTGTCACTATAGAAGCAAACCCCAAGTTAAAGGACAAGACCTAAACAATACTATCCAGCAAAACCTAAACATCACAGTACAGACCTATCGTCCACTCACATATCAAATCAATAATTTGCTCTCTTGTAACACTCGAGAAGCAAATACAAAGTTAAATGGAACATTACTTTGCACGAGCTCAATAGCTTCTAAACAGCTCATGAGCTCGCAAAGAAGAAAATTATCACAAATAGGGCATGTGTTAACGATACTGTTGAGCTAAAAACATCACAGCAACAACCTATCATGCACTGGCATATCACACTATAGAAGCAAAGGCAAGCTAAAAGGATGCATTACTCCCAAGAAGCTAAAGCTAGTAAACAACCTATCATTCACTGGCATATCATTATCTAGAATTGACCCTTGTAACAGTATAGAAGCAAAGGCAAGTTAAAAGGATGCATTGCTCCCAAGAAGCTAAAGCTAGTAAACAACCTATCACTCACTGGCCTATCATATCTAGAATTGACCCTTATAACACTATAGAAGCAAAGGCAAGTTAAAAAGGATGCATTACCTCCAAGAAGCTAAAGCTAGTAAACAACCAGTACATGAGCACCGTTGATCTGAATCAAACATCACAGCATCAACCTATCATTCACTGGCATATCATACCCAGAATTGACCTCTTGTAACAGTATAGAAGCCAACCCCATGTTTTACTTCCACTGAGCTAAAGCTACTAAACGGTAGTACATCAGTTGCAGAACAGGCAGGCCTAATATGCAACCAGACATAGCACTGCCAATTTTATAGCCTCCTAAGAATTATATTTTTGAAGCAGTGCCTAAGTTTCTAAAACAAAGATAGCATCCATGAAAGGCAAGAAATGTGCAAGCAGGCAACATCAATAAGTAGTCCTGACTGATGCAAAGCAACAACTGCAGCGTTCGAAACAATGAAATCAAACGAGCAAACATCATAAGCATAAGTGCGTAACTAGCATGCAAATTCAACACCACCAGAAAGCTTAACCTGACAAATCATAAGCAAGATATCCAGATCCAGACCTTATTTGGATCAAACTACCAGATTTTGTCCCAAGATATTCAAACTTAAAGACCTACAGCAACAGATATCATTGTCTCTCCAAACCATAGTTTAGTCCGTCATGACACAAGATATGTTTGGGCAAGTAAAACTGGAGTGGTAAATCACCGGCCGCCGAATCCAGCAGCGTTGAGGCCGAGCAGCATCTTGCCGTTGTCACCAGAGGGGATGTAGGCAACGTTGGGTGAGCGGGCAAGCTCCGCGGCGATCTCCTTGGCAGCCTCGATCCTCCTGAGCTCGATCAGCCCTGTCCCAGCGATGGCGGTGGCCTCAGAAATGAGGCGTGCAGACTCACTTTCTCCCTCAGCACGCACGATGGCAGCGCGCCTCTCCTGCTCGGCCTTGGCGACCAAGAACTTGGAGCGCTCAGCCTCCTGCTGGGCGACCTGCTTCTTCTCGACGGCCTGGGAGAAATCGGCGCCGTAGGAGAGGTGGGTGATGGCGACGTCGTCGAGTATGATGTTGAACTCACGGGCCCTTTTGATGAGGGAGTCGCGGACGAGCGCCGAGACGTGGGGACGGTCGGTGAGGAGCTGGTCGGCGTTGAACTGGGCAACGACGGCCTTGAGCACCTCGTTCCCGATGGAGGGGAGCACCTTGTCGTCGTACTCGAGGCCAAGGGAGGTGAAGATGGTGGGCAGGTTGACGACGTCGGGGCGGGAGAGGAGGCGGAGGGTGAGGTTTACCATCTGCAGGTCCTTGGTGCCGGAGTTGGAGGAGAAGTTGTGCGGGCGCGTGCGGATGTCGAAGATGTAGGGCTTCTGGAGCCACGGCACGATGAAGTGGGTGCCCTCGCCGACCGTCTCCGGCAGCACCCCGCGGAACCGGTCGAAGACGACGGCGCGCTCGCCGCCGTCCACGGTGTAGAGCGACGCCGAGAGGAGGGAGGCCGCGGCGCCGAGGCCCGCCGCCGCCTTGGCGATGTTGGTGAGGAACGAGACCGCCGCGGGACCGCCGGACATCGTCGCCTTCCGGGGGGATTTCGGGACGGCGGCGCGGGAGTAAAACCCTAGCGAGGATTTGGTCTCTCGGTGCGGGCTTGGGGAGGGGAATGGGGGGTGGGGGGCGGCTGGATCTGGCCGCCTGTGGGTTTTGTTTGGGTTTATTTCTTGGGAGAGAAGAAGGTAGACGGTGGGGTCTGGGTGGATGACAGGTGGTGGCCCGGTGTCAGTCTTCGGATTGGGCGAGAAGAAAGAAACCC